TAGTCGGCTAAATAGCATGTCAACTTTTATTTATTTTAATAATGTTCATTTATTTTGAGTCGAGATAAGGTATGGTGGAAAGCACATGCGAATGAAGGAAACCCAGTTCACTAGTCCTGGTGTTACAATGTTAACTTGAAATTGTAATGTCGAAGTAAATTGTTCCACTGTAGCCTCGTTATAACAAACTCTCTGGGGGACATACAATTAGTTTGTTATAGTGAAATGTTCACTATAATGAAGTACATAATACATTGGGTTTGTTGTGAGCGGGCGACATGCTATGTGTTCATTATATCAGGGAATTCATTATAAAGATGTTCATTATATTGAGGTTACAGTGTACTGTAAAATGACTAATTTTCACCGGGTATAAATTTCGCTGATTTACCATTTCAGGCATATTCAATGGGTTTTAAATACACGGTTTTATCATTTAGATAATGTGTTCTATGCTAAATTTTACATATTCACTGGGTTTTAATTTAGCGCATTTTCAAGTTCCAGTCAGCGAAATAAGCGAAATTAAAACCCAGTGAATAATTAACCCTTCTACAGTATTTAACGACGTAGGCACTCATAAACGCCACTTAATTTTCAACAATAGATCAGCGGAAAACCGATGACTGACTCATTGACGGTGATTGACGATTACGTCGGCAAAGTAAGAAAGGAAAACGGTGTAATCACAGTATATCTGAACGAACTTGGATTCACTCTCAATTGGAAAAGACGGGGGCATGGGATGTCTATCACATTAAACGATGAGTACCTGCATGGACGTGTTTGTGGTCTGCTAGGTAATGCTGACGACAACCCGAAGAACGATTTTGTAACGCCAGACGGACAAAGGACGTTTGACTCTGTGGTTTTCAGTGATAGTTGGCAGGTACCTGGCAGGTAAGATACAGTTTATCCCTTTGCAGCACGTGTGCACTGTTACACAGAAAATAAATTATTGAATTATATTAACTTCAACCCAATCCTCGGGGGCGGAGCTACGTCACAAGACGTTCCACGTTGCTAAGACGCGCACCACTGTACCATGCATTGCTACGGGCTCGGTGCGCGCTGCTGTGGAACGCCGGTCGAGCCGGTGAAAACTTCGAGAAAACAACACAAACTCAACTTTGAAGTAATCCCGAACAATCAAATTTATATATGTTACACACGTAGGGCAAATCTTGTTACACTGTTCAGGAGAGTCTCAACAACCATCCCAAAGTACCATTTTATGCGAGTTTTCGGCCTTTGTTTTCACCGCGAGGGCTGCCAAGGGGTGAAAATGCACGGATGTCCGCCCCCGAGGATAATGTCAAATGAATATACATTCTTTATAAAACGCGCCCTCTGGTGACTAAGCATTTCATGACGTAAATTGGTTACACTATCTTTTGCATCGTCGTCCATCAATAGAGATTGTTTCCGAAAATGAACGACTATGTAGCCAAGCTGTTCAATTTGAACGTCATAGCATTCATCCGTTAAATGTCATTTTGACGTCACACAAGCATTTCGTCACGAGAGGGCGCGATGTATGATCGACTCAAACAAAACCATAATTATAATTGCTAGTAATTATAAATCACCGCTATCAGAGTTAGAGGCCATTATGCCGGCACAGCTTTGCCATTGCACGATAATTTAAACCTCTTTTCGCAGGTAAATTCATTTCAACAGAAAACCTAACAAAATTAACTAAATTTATTCGATTTTGATGAGGGTGATTTTATAGCAACAACAATGAATTCCCCACAGCGCCATATTGGATTCGGAGAGGGAGGGGGACGCTATAGGCCCCTTTCCTAATCCAATATAGCGTTGTTGGGGGGGGGGATTCATTATTGTTTGAAAATGCAAACAATTGCATATAACTGAACATAAAGAACGAAAATCATAATTAACCGTATCTATACCTAACTATTTTTTTTATATTTTTTCAGTTGTCCTTAACATAACTGGTCATTCCCGCAGCACACATAATGAAGTTCAAATCTTGTCCACGCCATTACAAATACGTTTCTGAAGATTTATTTTCAGTAGTCATGATACATGTATTTTCGCTGATTTACTTTGATTGGGGTTTGGGTGCTATACAGGTTATCTAAGCGAATATTAAATCTACTTTGCTTATTGAACGATATTCATTTGAGACCGATTGTAACGAAAATCAACGCTAATATTATACATTATTAGTCACACAAGGCAATAAACTTCATCAAAAATGTTTAGGTGTGGTTTGCTATGTGGGAAATAAATACTGTAAAATGACTAATTTTCACTGGGTTTAAATTTCGCTGAACTACCATTTCAGGCATATTCAGTGGGTTTTAAATTCACGGTTTCGTCATTTAGATAATGTGTTCTATGCTAAATTTTTACATATTCTCTGGGTTTTAATTTAGCGCATTTTCCAGTCAGTGAAATAAGCAAAATTATAACCCAGTGAATAATTAACCCTTCTACAGTACTTGGCTACCATGAACGTGAATAACACCTATTGTACACATCAGACTAACATATATTCGTCAAACCATCACGTACAGGGCTGAGGAAAAACCGAAGATGAATACGACACAAGGACAAAATTATAACCCCCCCCCCATTGATGATTCACATCACTGCCACAGTAAAGATTCACTATGCCCCTAACCAGTTCTGTGTTCCGACTCGCATTTTGCCATTCACGTTTTTCGTACTTTCAATGTCGACAACACAACACCACCAAAGCAGTGTACGATAGGGGTGGTAATGAATATATACAATCAGCCACCGCTTACTTGTGTAGTAGTAGATCCAATTGGAGTACACAAAGTCTGCAATATGTGACGCCACTGTGCTTTAGTAATCTTGATAGGGTATGTGATTTGAAAAGCAACCAGAGCAGAGCATGTTCGATATCACTGTTAATGATTCTGAATAATACAGCTGTCTCGTGTAATTCTTTCAAGTTGCTAGGTATATAATTGGTTATACCATGGAGCTAGATGGTTATGTAAAATCATATGCACGTTTCCGAACAAAGTAATACAACAGCTATATATGTATAGCCGTAATTTGGCGATATACTGTCATTTAAAGGGCGGTGGTCGTCGCGCAACGCGTGTTCGAATTCCATGTAAACAACGTATTTTACACGCATTGTGTACGTCGCTATGAGTCCCATATCAAACAAAACGCGGCGCGACGACTGCCGCCCTT